AGACATCCCCTTTAAGCTTGCAGAGATGGTATCTTCATTAGTGGCATCAACCCAAAAGATGTATCTATATCTGAGAATAGCAAAATGCTATTGAGTAAATAGTATTTTTGCTAAATGAATCATCACATACTGGCTGGAAATGTCTTCTGAAAATTTCAAGGCAATTTGAGTCTTTCCCATCCCACCCAGGCCATAAATAAGAAAGGAGCGTCGAGGTGCAATACCATTTCCATTCCGAATACCAAAATAATGGTTCAACCTGTCAAGATAGACTTGCTGTCCTGTGAAGAGAGCACTGGAACAAGGCTGTAAAACCATCTCAGGTGGTTCATGCTGTGGGGGTGGTGGATAGTTGATCTGATCGAGCATGCATCTGAGCTTGTATACTAAACTCCCGGAGATATTTAATTGCGTACCACTTGATCTCCAGCCACAGCAGTGAGGGTACCGTGATTGACCGATACATGATGGGCATCACGAAATATCTCGGCCATGGTTGTTGTAGTTGTGTATTCTGTTGACAAAGAGCTGTGCGTATTCGAGGGCTAGGCAAGAGTAGATCAGTAGCAAGGGCAGAGGGCAAAGGGCGTCAATTGATAAGTCAAGTGTATGGAAGTTGCCGAAAATCGTTGGGCTGGCAAGCGTCGTTTTATTAAGCCCGGTTACCCGGTGTCACTCCTGGCGTAGGCTTATTTACGACAGGGTAAAATCATTTGTGAAATGTATTGCGAAGTGTTGAAATTTTACAAATAAACTCATCAATGATGAAATGTATTGTGAATTGAGAGATTTCCCCAAAATTTCCCCTATTGTGAAATCCGTAGGAAATTCTAAATTTAACTTTTGTTGAAATATATTTTTGGCAGTGAAAATTTAAAGTTAAATTTAAAATTTCTCAAGAATTTCCTATAGATTTCACGATAGGGGAAATTTTTCAATACACAATAGATTTCACCACTTATCAATTTATTTGTAAAATTTCAACACTTCGCAATACATTTCACAAATGATTTCACCATGTTGTAAATAAGCCTACGCCAGGAGTGTGTCCAAATATCGAGATATTCCACTATTATTGTAATTTTAGATTAAGTACTTTAAGAAAATGGATTGAAAGCTTCTATTCCGTCCTGGTATATCTTTGATTATCATTATCCATATCGTTATCTCAATTCGCATTTTCTATCTCTCCCACACTGTTCCCGGTCACCCTTTTACCACACTGCTAAAACCTCCTCTAACCTCTGCACAATAGTCCTATTCTCGTCCTCCGTGCTAATTGGAAAGACCCTCCGGATAGCAGCCAATATGGGCTCTGCTCAATGTTTGCATGACACATGAGTTCACGTAGGCTTTGATGAGGGAGACGACATTTTCGCTGGTTCGTGAGGTCCTCGTGAAATACTGTGATGCCTTTGAAGTTTTCCTAGTCGAGGACGGCGCGGAAGGAGGAGAGGGATGTATGTTGGTGAGGATTTGGATTATAGGGCGTTCGGCGACGGCGATTCCAAGTCTACGAGCGCGTCGTGAGGATAAAGACAGGCAGAGGGAAATTAGGAGGGAAGAGGCGTCGGATAGCAGCCAACACAAAGCTCTTGCTCGATGCTTGCATGACGCATGGGTTCGCGTAGTCGTTGATGAGAGACGGCGCTTGCCTTGGGTTGACGTCGTTCATCAACTACGGCGATGCCCTTGAAGTTTCATAGTGGAGGATGGAGCGGAGAGAGGAGAGAGACACGTGCTCCAGTAATATTTCGCGGGGAGCAGACGGAGATATCTTGATGGAGGAGTCAGTGTGGATGGCTCCTTTCAACTGTGTGAACGAGGAGGCGGGGTGGTTAGCATTTTGGGAAGGGGACAGGAAGTATTACGCACCTCTTCGACGCGCAGATTGAATCTGCCTTCTTGTCTCCATCTCCTGCATTTCCTAAGCATTCGAGCTAGACCTTCAACACACCTACATCTTTCGCCTGCGCGTAGGCGCTATACACCTTGTACATAGGTGGGATGACGAGGATCTCTCGCGTTTGAGGCCACGTACATAGACGCGGATGAGAGGGTCGATGACTCGTCAAACCCAATAACGAGGAAGACATAGGCGGGATTAGGCAGCCCTTGGAGAGAGGTGAAGGGAGATCTGAAATCGTTGTGGTAGGGGCTGGCGTTGCGAGGAAGGTCGAGGGTTTGTGTTAGGTCAGGGGTGGGTTCTAACGGATCAGAAAGAGAGTAGAAAGAGGAGGGGCGTGTGAGGGCATTTTTGTTTGCGTCGACGAGGATGCCTTCTTTGTAGTTGTCGCGAGCGCAACGATATGGGGATATGGGCGAAGAGTGATGAAGTTAGGGGGACTTAAGGCAACCGCATCTATTCCCGACTATATGCCAGCTAAAAAGAGAGTCGCGAACCTATTTACAAGAGAGGCTGAATTCGAATCTCAGGTTAAGATAAGATAATGATGTATGGTTGTGTTGTGTCTAGGTGTCTCTCTGTCCAGGGGATCACCTGCAACGTCTTCAACGGCAACACACTCCCAAACTCAACAGACGTTAAGTGTGATAGGTTCGACACGGCCAACGCAGAATTCATGGTTCAAGAATGACCAGCTTGGACGCAAGTCTGAGGTCTCCAATGCTTGGATGCAGGCTGACCTCAGTGCGTTCGCTTCGCTTCCTTTCCGTAGCCCAGCAGCGAGCTACCAGAGCGATGCAGTCCAACAGCCCAAACAAAAGCTGTCTGTAACGTCGGACCCCTCTATATTGTATACGAACGATCCAGTTGCGGAGTTCGCACAACGTGTGCGTTAAACTGCAGGTATGATGCTCGTGGTACCCATGGGGGCGTAGCTTCAAGGCTACCTGAGGAGTGAACCAGCAAATCGTTCTTCCGAGTGAGTGGATATCCCTATGCACATTCGCATATAATAACATTTTTTTACAGTCACAAATACCTCAAGCCAAACTTCCCATTCCCCGTCTTCCTCGTCACAACATCCAACCCGCCTCCAAGTCCTCGAGTCCATCTGCGTCATCTTCAGCAGCGTCTACCCCTCCTCCTTCTACGCCCACACCATCAGCTGGCCCCCGCCTCAACTCATCATCGAATCTCCTGTACCTTCCGAATCCGATGCATCTGCTCTCCCCACACCCACTACCACCACCATCCCATCTGCAAGCGCTCCACGCCCCAATACGAGCCACACTACCGAGCGGCGGTACCGCACGAACTCCAACGCGCGCATCTAGAGCCTGCGCATGGCCGTCCCCGCTCTGTGCGTGTTCGAAGACTGCCAAGTCAGCGGGAAGAAGATCAAGAATAACGTCAGAGGCGATGTGCCCGTGAAAGGCACCGTCGACGCCGAGGACGGGGAGGTGCATGTGATTGACGAACGCGGGTTCGTCGATGGGGTGAAGGTTGCACGGAAGTGGAGTAAGGCGAATGTGCTGGGCAAGGCAGTGGAGTATATCCGTGTGTTGAAGAAGCGCGAGATTAGGCTCAAGACGGAGCAGTCAGGGTTGAAGATGCTGGTTAGTGGGCTAGTTGGTGGTATAGCCTGCGCGTTTTGAGGGAGTGAGAGTGGGAGCGGCGTGGGCTGTTTGGGGGAGAGGAGAAGGATGAGGTGGAGGGTGAGCCTGATGTGGAAGGCGATGATGAGGATAGTGAGGGTGGGGACGATGGGGACGAGGAAGAGGCGGGGAGGAAACGGGAGAGGGGGGAGGTCGCTCCTGTGAGGAAGGAGGAGAAGGAGAAGAAAGAGACGAAGCCTGTTGTGCATACCTCGACGCAGCCTGGAGAGCCTGACACGGTTCCAGAGAAGAGGAAGCGCGGGAGGCCTAGAAAGGTACCTGCGCTTATGCCCCCTCCTCCTGTTATTCAGCAGCAGCAGCAGCGACCACAGGAGCCTATGAAGATTCAAATGCAAGTCGACTAGGCTATGTATCCGCCGCCGATTACGGCTGAGGCATGGGCGTAGATGCAGCAGCAGCAGCAGCAACAACAACAATGCCAGCCTCAGCAATATCTTCTCGCCGTCTTTGCCGTCTTTTTATTCTTCAACGACCCCTACACCTCTTCATCTCCATCTCACGCTGCTCACTACCACACTGGCATGGTTCTCACCCCTCCTCTTGCGCACGCTCCCAACATCGTATCCCAATTCCCCTCTGCTACGCCCGTGCCTTCTGTGGGCTGGGGTTGGCGCGAATACATCCAAGTCTTCCACATTGCTGTGCCTGACTTGGTACTCGGAAACCTATTGACGAGCTGGATTTGCATTGCATGGAGTAAGAGCGACGTGAAGAAGAGGGCTCGTTCGACTTCTGTGAGCCGGCCAAGTGAGAAGGATGAGAAGGTGGATAGGGTCAAGGTCGCTGAGGAGACTATTTTGCATGGTTATTATTGCTTTTGATTGCAGTCGTGAATTTAGGCGACGATAGCAAACTGTCGATCTATATCCGCTACCAAATCTATCGTGCCATTACCTCCGCCCGCAGTGCTACCATCAATGAGCTTTCAACGCTTGCCATGGTGCTGCAGGGCACCGTAGGCGTCGTCAGTGGCATTGCCCATGCTAAATTCTGTTCCATCTGGGACACCGCCAGGTCCTACGCCGAACATGCGGCCGCCAAACCAGGATCCCATTCCAAAGCCAAAATCTCTGAGGAACTCGTCCTTGCAGAACTCGACGTTGCAGGTGCCATCGACCGTCTTACCACGTCGTCTGTCGATGTCAAGGGCGGTGGTGAGCGTGTGTACTCGCCCCTTGAGGTCCTTACGTGCTCTTTGGTTCGGGAACGCGTGAAAGGGCCATGAACCTCTTACGAAATGGGTTGTCCTCGGTGTCGTATCTCTGCAGATAGTCATGGCTATTTCTCTACGACATATCTTGGTGCTATGTATCACCACTATTCATCTTTTGTGCGTATGCAATTAATTGGTGGCACGGCCAAACACAATCTCTGAGATTTCAAGGCATGTGACATGGCGCAAACCAATTGTTTCCAGCGCCGTCTTGGCGCAATGGTAGCGCGTCGCTTTCCTATCCATGTGTGTTTAACATGCATTGAGGAGTGAGGCGGAGGTTGTGGGTTCGAGCCCCATAGGCGGTAGTGGATAATTTTTTTATGTTTTATGCTACAGAAAGCTTGGTACTACGAGCTCCTCCACATTTCTACCTCTTTCATGTGATTTCTTCTTCTATGAGATAGCGGTGAGTGGGTGAAGGTATTGTACGGTGATTTATAAGAGGTTCGGCGACGGCGATTCCAAGTCTACGGGTACGCTGTGAAGATAAAGATGGGAGGAGGGAAAGTAGGAGGAAAGACGCGTCGGATAGCAGCCAATACGAAGCTCTTGCTCGAAATTTGCATAAAGCATGGGTTCGCGTGGTCATTAGTGAGGGTGACGGTGTCTGCGATTGGGTTAAGGTCCTTCGTCAATTACGGCGGTGCCTTTGAGGTTTTCATAGTCGAGAGTCGAGGATGGCGCGAAAGGAGGAGAGGGATGTGTGCTCCGGTAGTATTTCCCGGTGAGCAGAGGAAAATAATTGGATGGGGGGGTCAGTATCGATGGCTCCTTCGCCTGTGTGAATCAAGGGTGGTGATTAGCATTATGAGAAGGGGAAAGGTAATAGTACGCACCTCCATTGACGCACAGATTGAATATGCCCTCTTGCATTCCTCCCCTGCATTGCCGTAGAACTCGAGCGAGACCTTTACCGCGCCTACATCGTTCACGTGCGTGCAGATGCTGTATATCCTATGTGTTAGCGGGATGATGAGGATCCTCTCGCGTTGGAGGTCACGTAGTAGATGCGAATGAGGGTGGTTGATGACTCGGCGAACTCGCCTAACGCTATAATGTCCACCGTTGGCGGCGCACGAAGAGGGTGTAGGAGCGGAGAGTAAACTAGAATGACTGGCGTAAGTGCAATTTAATTTGTAAGAACTTTGGTCCTCATCGCTGGATACGAGGTCCCTTATATACTTATTCCTTAGCGTCAGGATCTTCGATGAAACCTATATTCATCTCCAGAGCAACTCAGAATTCAGAGTGGTGATATTCGTAAGTTAGTAAAAGAAGCACTATAATACAAACATATGCATCAGTAGATCGTAGTCGACAGGGCACACAGGGAGGAATGTCGCCGTAAAGGAGAACAGGCGGCAGAGAAAGGCAATAACTAAGCCATCCGTTCGAACGTGGGGTGTGCAATATAACTTGGCGAGGTCACAGTGCGAAAGGAAACAAAGCTCATGAACCTAAATCTCAGGTGAAGCCGAGTTCTGGACATCTCCCTCGTTAAGAACGACAATCTCCGGCCTCCGCAGTGCGCGTCTCGGGAGAGGCTTGATCTTCCGTTTGGGGATGAAGCCGGTAAATATCTCGACGTCGTCTGAGTCGCAGTCTGAATCGTCTGATTCCACGTAGGAGCGCGATTTCGAAGATGATTCGGAGGATGATGAAAGCGAGGAAGTTGAGGAAATGGATTCAGACGAGGACATTTCAGCATCCTGTGATTCCGATTTGGAGTGAGAGCGATCCTCGTATACGCCGAGTCCGAGGTTCTGAGTTTGGAGGGTGTTAGTAGGGTGCATGCTGTGATAGCTGGTTTACGACGCACCATCTCAATATACTGCTCCATTCCCTCATCTACATGCTCGATATCCACGCTGCTGGGGTCTGCCTGCATGCGGTCGGCGAGAATGGCGTTAGATGCTTCGAGTTGTGGGAGGAAGGCTTTCACACGTAGTAAGACTGTTAAGCGAAAAATATAAGAGAGAATATGAGTGGAATATGATATAAAAGGAACGTACGCTCAGTAGGAGGGGGTATCGCGAAGGTCGTGCGGTCGCCGAAATCGAATTTTGGTGGCACAGACTGTGCCATAGTTGCTGTACCCGCGCTCAATTTCTCCAGTGATACTTCTGTAAGATCATAGACAATTAGTATAACAGTTTTGAGACTTAACCAAAACTCACGTACGTATCCTCCTCTGTCTCTCCTCCTCATCTTCTACTTCCAACCGTTCCGTCTTCAAGTTTGAAGTCCCCGCGCTCCCACGTATCCTCCCCTCGCCCTCGCTCCGATGTCCATCTTCGTGAGTCTCATTCAGGTTCATATCAGTCGTCACAGAGCGCAAGAAGAAGTAGAAGAAAGAGAAAGTTTAGCTTCAATTGAACGGGAGCTTCTACATGGACAATCCGGAGATCAAATTGCGGAATTGAAATTAGAATTACGAGGGTTTGTCTCAGGGATACTGACAAACAGGTGCAAAGATGTACAACTTGTAGCGACCAACCAACCATCGGCATTGTGATGGATATATCGGACGGAATTCTATCTTACTCAGTCTCAGACGTCGGACTTTCGGGTAGATAGATGACTATATTTCGTCTCTACCAACAAGCCTCAGGCTTCCTACAACTTTCACCATGCTCTCATCCACTTCCAAAAGAAATGAAATCAGTCCGTTTATTGCAATAAAAGTACAATTAGGTACTTGACGTATATTCTACTATACAATAGAGTATTGAATGTCCAATCCGATGCAAATGAAATAATAAATCCTTATCGAGTGTTTCATTCACTCGACGCGCTAGAGCAGCCTGTGCACACTCAAATGTTCCCTAAGGACTCTGAGGGTCACGAAAATCGTTGCGGGAAGATGTAGATTTCACAAGGTGGCAGTCAACAGCTCAGAAAGGTTGAAGAAAGACGTAGTGGAACCGGTGGGGGCAGCGGTTGTAGTAGGCGCAGCCTGCGTATTGAACGTGAAGCCTCCAGCAGCTGAGGTGGTGGTGGGTGCGATGGAGGATTGCGCAGAAGAGGCGGAGGGAAATTGGAAGACTGCCGAGGAGGCGAGTCCAGACGCAGAAGATGCAGATGCAGATGCGGATGAAGCAGACCCAGCCGCTGACGAAGCAGCACTAGGGACAGAGCCCACGATGATGGGCGTGATAGTTGATGCAAGTGCGGTTCCGGTCGCGGTGGCCGCACAGTCCGTCGCGGAAACGGTGACCGTCGACACAACAGTGACGGTGACGATTCCGTTAGACCCTATGACCACAGTGGGGGTTGCATTACCTCCATCAGTGGCGGAAGAAGGAACGGCTACGATGGTAGCGGGTGTAGTGCTGGGGACCGCGGTTTGTGTGACGGTGACGATAACGGGCGCAACGCTGCTTGCAGAGGGAGCTGTGGATGAGATAATGGTAGAAGGAGTTGCGGTGGTGAGGGCAGCAGAGAGCTGGCGGCGGTATTGGTATCCGCCTCCAGATGCCGCATTGGATTGCGCGGCTGCGGTGACGGAGGCAGCTGCAGCAGAAGCTGACGGAGATGCGGCAGTAGGAGAAGGTGCGACTGTTACAGTGACGGTGAGAGTGGCGCCTCCTGAAGCGGCGGGTTGATCCTCCTCGCCATCGCAATCTTCGTCGTCACCTTCGGAAGTATCATCTTCGCAGTCCTCGTCGTCAGCGGTATCTTCGTCGTCACAATCCTCATCTCCAGCTTCAGTGTCATCTCCCTCATCGCAATCATCATCAGCAGTACCAGTACCACTGGGTGCGCTAGAGGTGGCGGTTTTAGTACTAGTGGGCGCAGGAGTGGTGGATGCCACAGCACTTGAGGAAGCGACAGCACTTGAAGGTGCCGCAGCAGTCGAAGATGCCATAGCGGTCGACGCCACAGCAGTCGATGATGCAACAGGAACGGCAATAGTTGACGAAGCAGCGGCTGAAGAAGCAGCAGGAGTGACCGAACCATCTCCAGTGAGACCTCCAGAAACACCACAACTGTTGATGGCAGCTGCAGCAACGTTCTTGTCCTCGCAGTTGATGCTCGTGCCAGCTTTCTGGAGATCTGGGAGAGCGACACAGCTAAGGCTGGCTGGGCATGCTTGGAGCACCCACTTTCCACTGACACATTGAGCGAACTGGGAGTTGATGCACGCAGTCTGGTCACCTGATTATAAATTTGTTAGATTCCAAATAAAGCAGAGTATGAAGTTTGTGCGTACCTTGGCACGAATCGGTCGCCTTCATGGTACCGAACTGGGCGTTGAGTTTTTGTGCGTCCTTTCCGTTCTGAGTGAGGACACTAGCAGCGGCTGTTGTGGTCGTGATATCTTCATGTCCTTCATGGCGGGGTGCGAAATATCCCATCGGTGCGGTTCTAACGGGTGCCAGAGCAGCGATGAATGCAATCAAGAGAAAAACGACTGATGCACGAGGAGACATGTTGTTTTTTTCGTCTGAAAATCTAGAGGAAGATGCTATAAAATGAATGAGAATTCGTCAAGTCGTGGAGGCACCTGGCCTGCTAGCTCGTCGGAGAGATGACCGGAAACTTAGAGAGAGTGGGAGTACCGTGGGCGGTTGAGATGGGGACTTGCACGCCCATGGCTTATTATATGGGAATCGGCAGGAGAACAATACAAAATAAAAATGAAAGGCATGATTGTTCATTGTTCTTGCCCTGGCCACGGGTCAGCCGCCGTTGACGTTCTGTTCAAGGTAATCAGCGCTTCCCACGTCCTCCCATTGTTTGCCTAATGTAGTTTAAACTCCGACACAACGACCTCGGCACAATCCATTCTAGGCCACATGCCATGGTTCCCAACCCGAGTATTTTATTTCTCTATCAGAGTATCGAAAGGATGGAGATCAAAGTCTTCGCAACGGTAAACAAGAAACATGCATATATGATTTTCAAGGATTTTTGACTTTTTTCTGCGTAAACAATGTTTGGTGCGCCCTCTGTAGCCTAATATTAAGCCGATGAGCCTATTTTTGGAGCCCCATTGTTCCACCGCTAAATTTAGCACAGAATTCAAAAGGCTCTCAAGAAATCTTTACGAATGAAATACACAAGTTAACCGTAATAATCTCGACACTATAATATAGTATATATCGTCTATCTAACTACAGATGCGACCGTTGAATCTTCTTCTCATGCATACAAAATGCCCCCAAACTAAATCAAACCGATTCTACTGAATCAAGTGCGAATATTGGCACTTAATCATCATGGGTGCCCGCAGGCTTCTGCAACATTGACACATCGAGACCGGAAGGCGGCCACTTGCTGGCAAATGCGCGGACCCCATCAC